GTTGAGACCGACGTACTGTGTGACGGTAGATGAGACCGTGAGCGTGAGGTCCTTCTGCAGCTCCCCTTCGAACCAGGTTGTGACGCCGTCGGTCGAGCCGATGTATAGTAGATCGTCTACGTAGACGATTAACAGGATGTAGTCGATGCCCTTCGTGAGCCGGTACATGCCCTGATCGTGCGGTAGTTGTTTCAAGCCGATGCAAATGAGGCGAGCGTGCAGGTATTGTTGCCATAGCCGCGGAGCTTGCTTGATGCCGTAGAGCGACTTCAGCAGCTGACAGACTTGATTGGGCTCACCGTTGGAGCCGTGCGGCAATTCGACGAAGATTTATGCATCAACAGGTGCGTAGAGGAATGCGTTCGCGACGTCGATTTGTCGCAGCTTCTTCTTCATGGCGGCGATCGCGAGGAGGATTCGGAGTGAATGTTTCGGTGAAGTCGCGTCCGTGTTCTTGGTCGAAGCCGCGTACGACCCAGCGAGCTTTAAACTTGTCGATGGTGACGTCAGCCTTTGTCTTCACACGGAAGACCCACTTCCCGGTGAGTACTGTTTTGTTCCGTGCTACGCCGATAGGGACGACCTTCCAGGTGTTGCGTTCCTCCAGTGCCTTTAGCTCCCTGTCCATGTCTTCGCGCCATTTTTCTTTATGTTCCCCCCCCAGAGCCTGTTGAACTGTCGCAGGCTCTTTAGGAATAGCTGCGCCGTGAACTGCGGTGACGAGGCCAAGGATTTGGAGTCCACTCTGTGTGTAGCGGGGGAGTGAAGTTTCCTCGGGATAAACTGCTTCGTCTCCCGCTTCTGGATCAGGTGCGAAATTAGGTCCTACGCGTTCTGCTTCGTCGGTGTTGACTTGTGCAGGTGTAACGTAACCGTTGTCAGCGAAATGGTAATAGGCTTCGGCGTTGATGCTTTCGCGTGGGTTTTCGTCGTCCATTGGCACGTCGACAGAGCAGTAGGGGAGGGGTCCGGCTTCTTCCGAGGCTCCTTCCACGTTCTGCTCGTCCCAGTCAGCTTCGTCGTCTGCCGAGGCGAAGGCTCGGGTGCCAAGAAAACCATCGGAGCGACCGGGGTTTCCTTCTTGCAAGTTGGCAAGGTAATACCGGAGGGTGAGGTTTTCGTAGAAAATGACGTCACGTGCTGCCACTGTCTCTTTTGTCTCGACGTCGAAAATTTTACATGCGTTGTAATGCTTTTCGATGCCCAGGTGTAGCCCCCACTGTGCGCGTTGGGAGAATCGGCCGGCTCGTGCAGATGGGGGCCGGTAATGTACCATGCAGCCAAAGACTCTTAACATTTTTTTGCTGCCCTGCTTTCCTGTCCACAGCAGGTGCGGTGATGCGTTGTTCGGGAGCGATGATGACGAGAGCAAGTTGTGCAGCATGACGGCGTGGTCCATTGCTTCGGGCCACTGGTGGTTGGGCAGGTGCATGCCACGTAGCAGCTTGCGCATGGTGTTCTGGAGGGTCCTGTTCATCCTTTCTGCTACACCTTGCTGTTGATGGGCGTATGGAAGGGAGATGAGCCGCTTGATTCCCCTTTCAGCCAAGTACTGCTTGAACCTCTGTGAGGTGTATTCTCCTCCCCCGTCTGACTGGAAGCTCTTCAGTTTGACGCCCGATTCTCGCTCTGCTACTGGGAGCCACGCGACGAAGGCTTCGAAGGCCATGTCTTTGCTCGGAAGGTTTAGATGCCAGACGTATCGTGTGGCGGCATCGATGAAGGTGATGGTGTAGTTGTACGCGTTTTGTCCAGGCTCGCGGTTGTACAAGATGTCGCTGTACACCTTCTCGAGTGGCGCGTAAGCTGGTGCGCTTGGGTTGTGGTGAGACGCGAACGGTTGATGCGGTAAGTCAGCTTCGGGACAGGTGAAGCATGTTCCTCGAGCTCGCTGAAGTTCTCTGCCGTCAGTTAGGAGTAGAGAGTCTTTATCGAGCACGCCTGCTCTTATCGTGTTGTTTAACACCGTGTTGCTTGGGTGTCCCATTCTTGCGTGCCAGGTTCCTTCGGTTGCACGATGTCCGGGTGAGCGCCGATACATATCGGAGTTGGAGTAGAAGCTGGCGGTGAAGTTGGCGCTTCGATGAACTTCTCGTGGTGCTGGGTGTAGTTGTTGCGCGGGTTTCGGTGGTGTGTCGTCGACGAGGAGTGGTGCCGTTGAAGGACCAGCGACTGGTGTTGACGTTCCTGCTGCTGCCGTTGATGTCTCTGCTGCTGCCGATGTTGTTTCTGCTGCTGCCGATGTTGTCTCTGCTGCTTCCGATGTTGTCTCTGCTGCTTCCGATGTTGTCTCTGCTACTGCCGAGTGTTGAATTGTTGCTAACGCCCTTGTTCTTTCTGCCTCAGGGATGGTGTGTGAATGCCAGAAGCCGCCAGGGCTGAAGTCTGGATCAAGATCTGGAGGGTGGGTCCAGGAAGTGAAGGTGACGATGCCGTCGCTGTCTGCTGTGCCGAGATCTGGAACAAAATCAAGAACGAAGACGTTATTTTTCAAGATCGCCTTTCCGATGTAGAGGCCGCCCTTCCCGTGGTACAGCTTGAACTCCTGAGTGGTGCTGTCTGCTTCAAGATGGATACCTTTAGCCATCAGTTGGCTAACGCTGAGTAAGTTGTAGCCGAGGCCTTCTGCGATTAAGACCTTGGACATTTGTAGTATGACGTTTGTCTCTCGTGACTGAAGTTGAACGACTCCTTGTCGTCGTGTGCGCAGGTTTTCGTTGTTGGCGACGGTGATGACTACTTCGCGTTGAAGTTGGTACTCTCGTTGCACGAAGCGTCCTGAAGAACACATGTGCTGTCCGCAGCAACTGTCCAAGAACCACGTGTCCTTCCCGGATGGCTCGCTTTGGGCGATGGTTGCGTATGTCGGGTTCGGCTGAAGTGAATCGCGGTGAGGTGTGGTGTCGTCGAGTTGTTCTTCCGGTGAGTAGTACGGTGGTGATTCCGTGATGCAGGAGTCGCTCAGTCTTGCCATGCAACTGACGATGTTCCTTGCTCCTTGTGTAGGTTGTCCTGTTGAGGTCGTTGAGGCTTGAATCTGGGTCGTGGGATTTGCTTGTGTTGAGGCGACTTGATTGCTTGAAGGTCGAAGCTGCCGGTGTGAAGGCGTTGACTGTTGTCGATTCGGGCAGTGCGTGCGCGGGTGCCCTGACGTCTTTCAGATGTGGCAGAACGGAGGTACGGGCTTCGGTTGTTGTTGTTTGTTGTTGTTGTAGCGTCGCTGAGTGTGGAATGCAAATTCCGGTGCTGATGTCTTCTTCTTGTGTCGTTCTTCTTGCAGGTCCATGTCTTGCTGCTCGGCGTGGATTTCGGCGCAGAGCGCTGCTTCGGAGATTCTTCCGTGGGCTCGAAGAATGGCCTTTGTGGCGCGCCATTGAGGACCGAGGCCGCCAATGATAACTGTCACGAAGGCGTCTTCAGATATCAACCCTCCGCATCGAAGAAGCTTGTCGCGCAACTCGCGACATCGGCTGATATACGCCATTCCTTTCTCGCCTGTTTTCATTTCGACCGTTGTCAGTTGCGCCATTAACCGACTTTGATTTACACTGTCTGTTGCTTGATACAGGTTTTCAAGTGGCTGTATGCGAGCTCCGCGGAGTTGCCGTAACCCCGGTAAGACCGTATATTCTGCTGTTGAGTCGGGGTGATGTTTCTCAGTAGAATCGTGTACGCCATCATCGACTGATAGGTGTACTGCTGCTTCTCATACTGTGTGCCGTTCGTTGGGTATGGCAGGGACCCGTCGAAGAAGCCAAGTATCTGCGCGCCTTCCATCATTAACTCGAATTCAAACGACCAGGTGAAGAAATCCTTTCCATCGAAAGGTCTTGACGTCTGCATCTTCAGAACGTGCGCGAACTGGACTGAACTTGTAATGCCTCCGGTGGCTTTTCTTGTCCAGGTGAAGGCTGCGGGTGTGGCATAAAGCTGATGGACCCGCGCTCGTACGGAGCAAAGGTAGGCTGCTGCTGTTGATTTCCTCGTGCGTATGATGAGCCGTCGAGACTCATGGGAGTTGCTCCGTTGTTGTTGCTATTGTGTGACTGCGCAGGTGCCGATTGCTGGTGTTGCTCGTAGAAGGACATGAAGGAGAAGAATTTCTCCATCATGCTCTGGTCGAAGTCTGCAGGTTGATTCGCGGGAGTCTCGGTAGACGTTCTAGGTCTAACTGCCGTGCCTTCCTCTGTCTGTAGGCCAGAGGCAGGAGGTGGAGTAGGAGTAGTGCCCTGGGAGCCGTTGGAGGAGCTCCTTTCCTTTTGTGTAGCCATGCCTGTTGATGTTGTCGGTATCTTGATAGAATTTGAATTCCCCTTGACAGCTCTCATACCATGTTGGGCTGAGAAAATAGCCCTTAGGATCTGTACAAGGGTGAATTCTGGGTAGGGATAATGTAATAGCGGAAGCTTTTAATGAAGTATGTGAGGGCAAAGTGGATTGATTAGAGCAAAGGGATACAAGATTATATAAGAGTACAAGGAATATGAAGGGGTACAGTTATAACTGTTTTACTGTTGCTGTTGCGGTTCGATACAGTGACGACTCGGGCAACTGCTCTGTAGCGAGTCAGTTGTGTGTCCTTGCTGTCGCGCTGTATTTTGTCAGGTCAAAGGTCGCTGACCTTTGACTTTCGCGTAACCTCCAACAGTTACTTTCAACCTCCGAGGGTTGACTCGCCGGTGCTTCGATATGCTTCGCTTCGTTTGTGCTTTAGTGTTTCGACACGACAGAGGCGCTTAAGATCGATTGTTTCCAACACGCGTATCGTTGGTTTAAACGACGGAGGAGACATGCATAAACAGACATGCATTGCATAGATAGAGACATGCATAAATCGAGACATGCATACATAGACATGGGAGGCATGCATGCCTAGGGACATGAGTAGACAGGCATGCATACATCGAGACATGCATACGTATACATGCATGCCGTACATGGAGACATGCAGACATGCTCCTGAATGACACCTCCCCGATTGCACCCACGCAGCAGTGCCCTCACCACCCCTCCCCACGCCACTGCCTGCACAGCGCCTCTGCTCGCTCCGCCAGCAGGCGCCTCACCCTCTCATCCACCTGCTGCGCCTGCCGCCCTGCCTCTCCTGCCTTCTGCCCGCCCACATGGCGTGGCGCAGCGGCAGCAGCAGAAGCAGCGGCGGCAGCCGCAGGTGGGTGGCACGGCATGCGGTTTGGCGATGACGTGGGCACGTGGGAGTGGTGGGAGGGAAATGCGAGGCGGGCGATGCAGGAGAGGAGGCCGGAGTGGCGCAGGAGAGGCGGGGAGATGTCGAGGCTGGCCAGGTACCACAGCAGCACTCGCGCTTGCCCCGCCTGCACCCGTGGACAGCACAGGGGGGGGGAGTGACAGCGACAAGCTTAAGTCGACTACAACTGAAAAGTGCAAAGAAAGAGGCAAACAAATCAGGGGAAATCAAATCGGCGGCAAGGTAAGGTGAAATGAGTGAGAGGAGGTGGTGGTACGGGCACAGCAGGTGGCACACGACTCACAGCAGGTGGCACACGACTCACAGCAGGTGGCACACGACTCACAGCAGGTGGCACGCGACTCACAGCAGGTGGCACGCGACTCACAGCAGGTGGCACACGACTCACAGCAGGTGGCACACGACTCACAGCAGGTGGCACGCGACTCACAGCAGGTGGCACGCGACTCACAGCAGGTGGCACGCGACTCACAGCAGGTGGCACGCGACTCACAGCAGGTGGCACACGACTCAGAGCAGGTGGCACACGACTCACAGCAGGTGGCACGCGACTCACAGCAGGTGGCACGCGACTCACAGCAGGTGGCACACGACTCACAGCAGGTGGCACACGACTCACAGCAGGTGGCACGCGACTCACAGCAGGTGGCACGCGACTCACAGCAGGTGGCACGCGACTCACAGCAGGTGGCACGCGACTCACAGCAGGTGGCACACGACTCAGAGCAGGTGGCACACGACTCACAGCAGGTGGCACACGACTCACTGCTGCATTGGAGAGCAGCGCTCCTTCGAGCCGCGCCTTAATGGACGCCAGCTGATGGGGGCACACCGGAAGAACGAGAGAACCTGTTGCGCATTGGTGCGTGCTTCAGAAGAATATGTGGAACAATCCGCCAAGGGAGAGAATGTTGATCACATGTAAGTAAGACGAGCACTTCACTGTGCAACATGGCGCAGTGAAGCGGAGAGACTCACCTCCGCCATCACTGCTAGGTCCAACTGCTCATCCTCTCCCCCATCTGCACCTCTCGCATGCTTCTCCTCCGCTACCGCGTCCCCTCCTCCTCCTCCCCCGCGGCATGCACGTGTTCCGCCTTGCTCTCCTCCCCCGCGGCATGCACGTGTTCCGCCTTGCTCTCCTCCCCCGCGGCATGCACGTGTTCCGCCTTGCTCTCCTCCCCCGCGGCATGCACGTGTTCCGCCTTGCTCTCCTCCCCCGCGGCATGCACGTGTTCCGCCTTGCTCTCCTCCCCCGCGGCATGCACGTGTTCCGCCTTGCTCTCCTCCCCCGCGGCATGCACGTGTTCCGCCTTGCTCTCCTCCCCCGCGGCATGCACGTGTTCCGCCTTGCTCTCCTCCCCCGCGGCATGCACGTGTTCCGCCTTGCTCTCCTCCCCCGCGGCATGCACGTGTTCCGCCTTGCTCTCCTCCCCCGCGGCATGCACGTGTTCCGCCTTGCTCTCCTCCCCCGCGGCATGCACGTGTTCCGCCTTGCTCTCCTCCCCCGCGGCATGCACGTGTTCCGCCTTGCTCTCCTCCCCCGCGGCATGCACGTGTTCCGCCTTGCTCTCCTCCCCCGCGGCATGCACGTGTTCCGCCTTGCTCTCCTCCCCCGCGGCATGCACGTGTTCCGCCTTGCTCTCCTCCCCCGCGGCATGCACGTGTTCCGCCTTGCTCTCCTCCCCCGCGGCATGCACGTGTTCCGCCTTGCTCTCCTCCCCCGCGGCATGCACGTGTTCCGCCTTGCTCTCCTCCCCCGCGGCATGCACGTGTTCCGCCTTGCTCTCCTCCCCCGCGGCATGCACGTGTTCCGCCTTGCTCTGCCACCCCGGTACGTGCAGCAGCAAGGCTGTTGTGACGGCACTTGCTGTGTGGGGGAGACTGCATCTCCTCACTCGCACTCGTGCTCTCACTCGCACTCAAGCCTCCATTGCTTTCACTCAAACCATCGCTGCTGCCGCTGCCCTGCTCATGCCATGCTGTCCCACACTCTCCGGCCCTCGCCCTGTGTACCCTCGCCCTGTGTGCCCGGCGCTGCTCTCGCCGGCCACCACCAGCGCCCAGCATCTCTCGCCCACAGCACCCGTGCGTGCGCCCCGCCTGCTCTCCTCGCACTCGCCTCTCCACCTTCTCCACACGCCTGTGCCTCTCGCCCTCCGCCCTTCCTCCCGCCTCTGCCTCACCGCCCTGCTCTGACCGCCGCCAGACTTTCCTTATTCGGGGGCCCTCCCCACTCAGTAGACCCTCCGCACTCAGTAGACCCTCCCCACTTCCCTCCCCACTTCCCTCCCCACTTCCCTCCCCACTTTCCTCCTCACTTTCCTCCCCACTTCCCTCCCCACTTTCCTCCTCACTTTCCTCCTCAATGCCCTGCCCACTTCCCTCCTCACTGTCCTCCCCACTCCCCTTCTGACTGCCCCCCTCACTCTCCTCCTCACTGCCTGTCTCACTGCCCTGCCCGCTGCCGGCCTGCCGTGCACCAGAGCACAGCAGCCCCTGCCACGGGTCAGACGCGCCTTCTGAGCGCGGGGCAGCAGCGGGCGGCGGGGCGTGGCCATGGGGGTGGCGCAGGGTGAGACGCTGCACCCCGCGCTCACGGCGGGTGCAGGGGGGGTGGTCAGTAGCAGTGCTGGAAGCAGCCACACGTGCAGCATCCCCGCATGTGCCAGTGGAGGCAGCACCGCCTTGGGAGGTGTTGCACGGATAAGCGACGACGCGGCCCTCGCAGCCATTGGCCCCAGTGGTGACAGCATGAGCATGAGCATGTGAGCGAGCACCCATGGGGCCGTCCCCACCATCCCCCCAAGTGGGCACGGCAGGCAGCATCCCCTTGCGTGCGTTGCCTCGAGCCACTCGCCCGCGCTTCATCGCCCACCCCTCCCATTCCCATCGCCCCCTCTCCACCCCCTTCTCCGCACGCCTCTTCCCTCTCCTCACCTCCCCCCCTGCCTGCCCCGTCCTCTCCTTCACCTGATCTCGCGCCTCGTCCCACCGGCCTCGCTCCTTCACCACCCTGCCACTCCTTCCATCCACTCCTCCCACCTCCCTCTCACCCCTCGCTCTCCTCTCACCTCCCCCTGCCCTCTCTCCCTCTTTCACCACAGCTCTTACTGCTCTCTTTCCCTCCACCTTCACTGCCCCCCTCACAGCGTCAGCTCCCATGCGCACAGCTGCGGGCAGGGCGAGCACCACGAGGCGCGGCCCAAACGAGGCAGCGCCCACCAGGCCGGCACATCTGGACGCGTCCACGGCTGGGCGAGCCAAAGGGGGGGACTTGGGAGTCTCTTCAAGGGTGGCTTGGGGTGTTGGCAGAATGGGAGTGGGACACGAGGGCGTGCAATGTGGGAGAGGCGTGGGAAGGGTGAGGAGTGGGAGTGTGGGCACACGAGGAGGAAGCGGGCAGGGCAGAGGCGGGGCGTTGGAGTGAGGAGGCGCGGCAGCAGAGTGCGATGGCTGTGCGCCCCTGCAGGGCAGCCTGGCAGCGTGAGGCCTGCTGACCTGGGGCTGGGCAGCAGGTGGAGGGGGCAGGCGGAGGAGTGGAAGGGGGGCAGCAGCAGGAGGCGGAGGGCGAGGGGGCAATGCTGGGTGGGTGGCGGCAGAGCGTTGGGGCGGAGGGATGTGAGGTGGAGCAGCGGCAGGCGTTGGCAGGCCATTAGGTGAGAACGCAGTCATGGCTGTTGCGGTGGATGCACGCAGCAAGGCATGCGCAGCTGTTGGGCCGCCAGCAGTCAGCCGTGGTGGGCGCTCGTTGCCCGCTGCTCTCGTGCCCACACGTGCACGCCGCTGCTCCACTGCATCCCTCCACTGCCCCCTCACTGCTTCCTCACCTTCTGCTCCCACCCCTGCTCCACTTGGTGCTTCTCCTGCAGCCTCCCCCACTCCCGCCCACTGCACACCTCCACGTGCTCGCACAGCTACCTCACTCTCCTCATCGCTCTCCATGCACCCTTCTCTCTCTCTCGCCCCCTCGCCCCTCGTCCTCACCACCACCAGCAGCTCCTCCCCCGAGTCCCTCCCTCCCTCACAATCTCTATCCCTATCCCCGCCCACACCCTCCTCTCCCTCGCTATTCCTCTCACTGTTTCCGCCCAAACCCCCATGCCTTTTCCCCTCGATGCCTCTACATCCATTCCCATCTCGCCCCCTCTCGTCCTCTCCGCCCTGCCCCACCGCCACCATGTCACCCGCACTGCTGCAAGCCCCTCCGCCCGCCCTAGCAGCGCCAACAGAGGCGCCTGCCACGCCGTCCCGCCAGCCCCCCTCTCCCTCTTGCTGCCCATGCCTTGTCGCCTCGCTGCCTTCCCACCTGCTCTCACCGCCTCTGCTCTCACCGCCTCTGCCCTCACCGCCTCTGCCCTCACCGCCTCTGCCCTCACCGCCTCTGCCCTCACCGCCTCTGCCCTCACAGCCGCCCACAGCATGCAGCTGGTGGCCCCCCTCTGCGCGGGTGCCCCCCTCTGCGCGGGTGCCTCCCTCTGCGCGGGTGCCCTCCTTCCACCTGCTCGCCTCCGTGCGTCCGTTCTCCTCCACCTCGCACCCGATCAGCACGTTCATCGACACCACTTTGCCGCCCTCTGACCCCTCCCACTCCTTCCCACTTATGTTCCCTCGCCCTCTCCCCGTTTCACTCCGAGCCCGTCCCAGTGTGCCCCTCCCTATAAGCACGTTCACGGAGACCACTTTCTCGCCCCTGTCCCCTTGTGCACCCCACTCCTCCTTCCTTCCCGATACCGTCACGCCCATGCCCTTTTCCTCTTTCTTCGTCTTCTCTGGCGTTCCCCTCCCTATAAGCACATTCAACGACACTGTCTTATCTCCTCTCACCTCGTCAGTGCCCCCCCTGACCGTTTTCTCAGGCGCTGTCACTCGCTGCCCATCTGCTTCTCTCGCAACCGTCCCCACCGCGCCCCTCCCAGCAGGCCCCGTGGCAGCGCAAGCAGCGGGCGGCATGCCGTGGTGGAAAGAGCAGGTGGGTTGGGAGCTGCCGTGCAACCCGCCACCGGCCATCACTTGGCAGGCGTGAAAGGCTTCCCCCCGCACCGTGCCGAGGGGCCACTCCCCGCCTCCACCCCCGCCACTCACTGCCTCCCTCTGCGCCAACCCCCCACTGCTCTCACTCCCTCTCGCCGCCGCTACCCCTCCGTCCCCATTGCCGCTCATCCCTGTCTGCTCGCCGCTCGCCTCTCGCCCCTCGCCGCTCGCCTCTCGCCCCTCGCCGCTCACCTCTCGCCCCTCGCCGCTACTCGCCCTTCCACTTGCCATGTTCCCATGCGCTCCCCCCTCGCCCCCCTCGCCCCTTTTGCCCTGCATGTCACTCGCGCTTCCACTCCCTGTGCCGTCCACACGCACGCCTGCCACGTCCTTCGCTGCTCCCTTTTCGTACACCATGCTCCCCTCCCCCTGCTCCGATCCCCATTGCCCTTCCTCGGTTTTCGCCTCTCCGTCTCCCTCACTCACTTCCCCACTTCCCCATCCATCCCTCCCTCCACTGCCTTTCCTCGCGTGTAAGCATTCGCGTCGTCTCTTCCGCTGCCCCCACGCCACCCACCCTGGTAACGCCTCCTCCTCTCCCCTGCCGCCGCCCCTCCCCTCCTCCAACCCCCTCTCCGCACCCGCCTCTACTCCTCCCCTGCCCCGCGTCTCGCCCATCTTCTTCCGTGCGGCTCGCTCGACCGTGCGCCGCTGAAACACATCCCCGCTATAGGGCACCGCTCCTTTCCCACGACTGTTGCGAGTCAACAATGTCATTCGGGCCTCCCTGCGCGCGCCGTCCTTCCCCGCGCCATCGTCCGACCCCATCCAGACAGAACACGTCTGCCGGCTGCGTCGCTCGAGCACGGCACGTGTCACTCCAGAGCCAGGTACGAGCCACGCGGCTTGCTGCCGCCAAGCCACCAAGGCACCTGCTTGCAAGTGAATCCCGCAGGCTACCTCAAAATAATCGTGCTTTGGAAGTTAGGGCGGTGCGGACGCGTCACAATTGAAACATTGGAGGAGGTTCGGAGTTACACATCGAAGCTGTGAGCGTCGATCTCCTCCGAGCCACATGTTTCGCGATCCTCCTCAGGATCCTTATATGGCTGGGTTAGAAACGGTTTCGAAAATTGCGAATGTTATATGCGTGATTAAAGTGCGGTGACAGATCGATTGGAAGACCTATCGCCCTACGTGATGTGTCTCGAGTCTTGGCGAATATTGACGATTCAGAAAAACACGACTCCGTAAATTACTGTACACCCCGAACATCGATCCCTTAAAAGATCGTGTTGCAATTGTGACGCGTCCTGAGTTTTTGAGGGAGTTCGCGATTGTGGGAGACGTACATTCTGAAACTCGGCACACGAATTCTTCAGTGTTTCGTACAGCTCACCGTGCATTTCAACCTCGACTCTCCCACAATGGGCTGGCGAACACCAGGTGTTACGGGTGCAATGGATCTAGGTAGCGAGGATTGCACTAAGTGTCAAACGAGTACAAAATGTGAGCGAAGGCATGAGCGAACATTCATACGCGAAACATGCAAACGGTAACGCGGTGCGTGTGAGCTAGCTAGTGCTACGCTGGCAGCGAGGTTCGGGCTAGTCCCGAAGCGTAGGCCGACACGGTCGGGCCAGCAGTGCGAGGTTTGGTGAAACGGTGCGCGCGAAGTCGGCAAGCCTCGTTAGCAGTAACGGGCGAACAACGGCTGCTGCTGTACGCGATGTTGTGGGATGCGCTAAGGAATGTCGAGAAAATTCCTTACACTACCCCCCCCCCCCTCAAGAAGCCCCCTCCGCTACGCAAGTGCGTGTATATCGCGGAAACCCCGGCTCCTCAGGTATGGTGGTTTTCGATGTTGGCCAGGGGCACCCGGCTATCCTCAGTTGGCGTGCGGTCCTTCCAGCGAACGAGGAATTCAATCCTCCTGATTCCCGTGGGGTGTTGAATCCGATGGCTCAGGATTTTTTCGGGCTCGATGATCGACTCCGATGCAGGGCGAGTCATGGATGGCGGGCGGTGACGAGGCAGTTGGCTTGTGGTGGGGATGTATGGGCGAAGCAGGCTGACGTGGAATGAAGGGATGATGTACCAGTCCGTCGGCAACAGTAAGTGTGCTGTCATTGGGGTAATCATGTGGCTGATTTGGAATGGTCCACAGTAGCGCGGTCGTAATTTCAGCACGACGGGCAGTTTTAAGTTCTGTGTGTCGAGCAGTACGTAATCTCCTGACTGGTACGTGACTGGGCGGCGGTGGCGGTCAGCGTTGCGCTTAGCGATGACATTGGCCTTAATGATTGCTTCGGCGGCTCTGGTGCGGGCAGCTTGCAGATTCTCGGCGAATTGTTGTGCGCGTGGCGTTGGGTTGTCCAGGCTCGGCGCCATGGGCACTGTAGGGTTTTGCCCATAGTTCAGGTAGAACGGAGAGTGCTGCGTCGTCGCTGACGTGGCGTTGTTGTACGCGAACTCAATTTGCAGCAGCTGCTGCTCCCAAGTTGTCGGGTCGTCGCACGTGGCACGAATCGATTGTTCCATTGTCAGATTCGTCCGCTCCGTTTGACCGTCGGTCTCGGGGTGGTACGACGAGCTGAACTGTAGCCTGGTCCCGAACTGCTCCCAAAGGTTTTTCCAGAAGTTGCTGGTGAACTTCGTGTCGCAGTCGCTGATTATCGCGGCTGGTATCCCGTGCAGTCGAACGACGGCTGCGATGAACAGGCGAGCGGTTTCTTTGGCTGAGATCGATTTCTTACACGCAGCGAAGTGTGCCATCTTCGTCAACCTGTCAATGACGACCATAACTGCGTCGTTACCCCCAGGGTTCGAAGGTAACCCTGTGACGAAATCCATGGTAACCTGCTGCCAGGCGCGCTCAGGCGGTGGGATCGGCTGCAACTGACCCGCCTTTCTTTTTCGCGAGCTCTTCATCACCTGACACGTAGGACACGAGCCCACGTGGTGCTATACGTCGGTCAACAGCTCCGGCCAGTAGTAATACCGCTGCAGTTGCTGTCGCGTTTTTTCTACCACGAAGTGTACCGAGGTAATCCCGTCGTGTGCCTCCTGTAGTAACAGTTCCCTCAGTAGTGAGTACGCGGGTACCCAGATGCGGTTGGTGCCTGTTTTTACGTAATAGACTCCTTTTGCTTCTGCCAGTTACTGTGAATTTTCTGTCATAAAAAATGGGTCGGTACTGTATCCGTGGGTAAATAGGCCGTTAGCAGTGGGTTGGTTTAGGTGAGTAGGATGGCGTGGAGTTGGGCGGTGGGGCGTGTGAGTGCGTCGGCGATGTTGGATGCACCTTTTTTATACGTGACCGTGTAGTGGAAGTTGGACTCCAGATAGTCCAACCAGCGGATCTGTCGCGGGTTGAGATTCGGTTGGGCGCGAAGGTACTGTAGTGATCGGTGGTCTGTCCGTACTGTCACGTCTGCTCCCGTGAGGTAACATCGCCACACCTTGAACGCGTGCACGATCGCCAGCATCTCACGGTCGTGTATCGGGTAGTTGCGTTTGGGCGGATGAAGCTTGCGGGACTCGTACGCGATTGGCTGGAGGCCGTTCCCGAAGTACTGCAACATTACTGCTCCCACAGCGATGTCGCTAGCGTTAGTGACGAGCTCGAACGGACGGTGCGGATCTGCGATGTGAAGCACGGGCGGCGAGCACAAAATTTGTTTGAGGGCCGAGAAGGCAGCGTGCTCTTTCTCCCCCCACGCGTACTCAACCCCCTTCCTCAGCAGGTCGGTCAACGGGGCAGTCAACTTCGCCATGTCGGGGACGAACCGGCGCACGTAGTTGACGAACCCCAAAAAACTCTGCAACTCGGTCAAGTTTGTCGGCGCATGCCATGCTTGAATCGTTGCGATTTTTTTCGGGTCTATTTCCACTCCGTCAGCTAAAATGATGTGTCCCAAAACTCCAGTCGGTCCTGTAAAAACTCACACTTAGAAGCTTTGGTCAGTAGGCGGTTCTCACTCAGTATTTTAAAAACTGCTTCAATGTCCTGTAAGTGCTGTGCTCTGTCGGGGCTGTAAATCAGTATGTCGTCGAGGTTCACGATGACGCATATATCTAAATGCGGGCGGAAGGCTTCATTGATTGTCATTTGAAAAGTGGCGGGGGCGTCTGTCAGTCCGCATGACTGTGTATTCGAAGGATCCGTAGCGTGTGCGGAAGGCTGTCTTGGGGCAGTCGGGTGGGTTGACGCGAATCTAGTGGTAACCTCCTCTAAGGTCGATTTTCGAGAAAACCCGGGCTGTACGCAGTTGGTCGATCAGTTCGTCGGCTCGCGGGATGGGGTAACGAGATTTAATGGTAACCCTGTTCAGTGCTCTGTAGTCTATGCACATGCGAAAACCCCCGTCCTTTTTCGGCGTGAACAGTATCAGTGCTCCGAAGGGTGACGAACTCGGGCGAATGAACTCTTTTTCGAGCAGGTAATCCAGCTGCTTTCTCAGTTCGTCCAGTTCGGGTTGGGTCAGTCGGAATTGTCGCTGTACTGTCGGCTGTGCCCCCGGTTCTAACTCTATCCTGTGGTTGTGCGGTCGCTGAGGTGGCAGTCCCGTCGGCAGGTCGTCTGGAAATATGTCACTGTACTGCTTCAGGAGTGCTGCCAGGTCATCCGGTACGTCAGCTAGCAGTTTCTGTAAATCCCCCCTTTTGTCTGCTGCCTCGGCTTTTCGAATGTCAACCGCGTACACGTCAGCTCCTGCCGCTACGGCCCGTTTCATCGTGATCACGTTGACACGCACCGACGAAGACTCAGGCGAGCCCCAGCGAGGTAAGGCGATGTTGTTACCGTTCACTCGCACGGTGCAGTCACCCGTCGTCCAGTCGATTCGCGGATTGTGTTGTCGCAGTCAATCACGACCGAGTAAAATGTCGATTCCGTCGAGGGTTGTCGCGAGCATTTCCTGGCTAAACGTGAAGTTTCCCCCGCATCGAATCCGAACCCGGTCTACGCGTTCCCGTATCGCCAGTGGCGTGTCGTCAACCAGTCTTGCGTCGATCTCATGTAAGCATCTGTCCAG